GGCAACTCAATATGATTCCTGTTTGAGATTGCACAACCATTTTCTGCATTGCTAAGTATCACGAGCATTGAGCAGGGTAAAGGGTGTCTGCCAGGGGAAAGGGGAACAAATCATAAAACACGCATGGTGATTTTGTGTAACTGCTATATAGAAGTGTTCTAGTCTTAAATAATATTGAATGCAAAACAATATGAGGAATAAAAATACAGAATATAATCCAGTCAACAAGAAAAAAATAAATCTTCCTCCTGTCTAGTTTTATATTGTTTCCCAACAGTCAACTCAATCCCTCTGAGAAACCCATAAGCACAACTCACATTTGTCAATAGTTGGTCTCAATACAGACACAGTACTTCTAGCACTGATCATCTACTGAAAATCTTATTCTTGTGGCTAGTGGTCATTAGTGACCTTAAATCCCACCAAATAGAGCACTTTTCTTTGTATAATTCTAAGAGAGTCCCTTGAGTACAGCTGTAATGGAATTATGGGTTACCTATACCAGTTTGACAGGACACATTGAACATAGAAATTACTGTTTGTGAATTATGTTTTATTTATGCTGCACCAGACTGTTTTTCACATACACAGGCTATAATAAAGGATAGCAATTCAAACTGAACAAAGGCTTTTGCAGGCTTAGTGTGAATAAGTAAAGCAACATGCACTGTACATATCTCTGTTTCAATACTCATGACAGTTCTCTTATTTTCTTATATAAATAGTGTGCGTATGTTTATCATTGCATCAAATTGCAACAGCTTTTGTCCATCCATCCATCTCATGGTTATTTTTGGTCAACTCAGAGCAGTGTGCATACCTATTGCTCCATCTCCTGTTTACCGCAAAACAACATCCCTGTGCAGCGGGTGGGCTGAAAGAGACCACTGGCCAGTGGTCATCCAGCCAGCTTTTTATGCCTAAGGGAGGATTGGAACTCACAATCTCGTTGTTTCTAGCCAAGTGCCTATAGCAAACTTCTTACTGACTAAAAGTTACATTTTGTTGGAAAACCTCTAACTGACAGATCTGGATACAATTATTATTAGGATAAAAATATAAAAGAAAGATACAAGTAAGATGTATGAATTACATTAGAGAAATATGTACTTTTTAAAATATTTTATGTTCCAATAATACATGTCATTCCATTTTTCCTTGTTTTCTTGATTTTATAATGCAGCTATACAACGTTGTTATAGGAAGCACATAACATGGATTTTGTCCAGAAATATTTTGGCAGATAAATATATTAAAAACAGCAAAGATTACATTAAGTACTGTACTTGATTAGAAACCAGAGAAATGGAGCAATAAATAATAGATTCCCAACAGCAGTACATTTTGTAAATCAATCCATGAATCCTATTGAATTATAGTGCTAAACAGGAGGCATTAGGAATTTGTTAAACTGGTTTATTACTGTTCTTACTTGGCAACTTTTCGTTTTACTACTCTGCCTTTTGGACTAGCTAATTTATGGGAAATACAGGGAACAGTTCTGCTTTCAGGTTTATGGACATTTCTGTGCATGGTGAAGAATACAATGGAAAATAAGTATGTAACCTCTTCATCTTGAAATCTTTCATCTGCAATAGATGGATCCTTGTTATTTCGTGGAACTTTGCTAGAGTAATAATTCTGAGTATTCCAATTTCACAGAGAATTAAACTGTAAAAGACACAAAGATGGAACTATTTTGCTGTAAATGGTTTTGCAGTTGCTATTTTCTTACATTTCACAATTTCTTCTTCAATAAAGCTATGATTCTCAAATAGCAGGGTAAGATACACTACTGTTCTTTTACTGTTACTATAAATCAGGGGTGTCAAACTCACATTGTCACGGCGGTATCACGTTACATATTATGACTTTTTTCCCCTTTGCTAAACTGGGTGTGGGTGTGGCCAACGCGTGATGCATCTGGCCCATGGACTGCGAGTTTGATATCCCTGCTATAAATCATTATTTCAAACAATAGTAGGGTAAGAATAATGAAAGAATTATGACTTGAATGGTTGCTATGCTCTTACTTGGAGAAGAAAAACAGTTTGGAAGGCCATCCAATAGACCTCCTCCTCCCCCCCCCTTACTACTGATAAGGTGTACATCAGTTGCAGATAGATTTGTTTTCTGAAGTAGCTTTCAGAGATTCTAGAGAATTTCTTTCCATAAGGAACTTGAAGTGGAGCTTCTAAAACTGAGTAGATGTTTTTATTCAATTGAACATACCAGAAGAAGCCATGCAGAGATATTTTGCAAAGTGAATCATATGAAAATGGGAAAATTGTTGTTTTAGGAAAACAATTCATGTCATTGATTTCCAACTAAATTGCAGTTAGTGGCTTAAATGCATCAAAACATTGATACTTGGAAGAAATTATTCATCCTTATATTGATAAAAGAGTTAAGGATGTGTGTTAGATGTTTTGTGCTTTTGAGAGACTGTTGATTCCTGGTGTCTGCAGTTCCTACAGTTTTCTTGGCAATTTTTTTTTCCAGAAATGGTTTGCTAGTGCCACCTTTCCAGGGCTGAGCTGAGAGAGATCCAAGATCACCCAGGTGACTTTGTGCCACAACAAGACTAAACTTATAGTCTCTTGGTTTCTGCCTTAACTACTATGCCAAATTGGCTCTCTCTATTAAGGAGAAAGCCTTCAAAGACACAATCATAATCTTATATTGTTGATTCAGAGATGGAGAACTGGGTTAGAAATAAAATGTGCATTAGGAATGAGAATGAGGACTTCGGGCTTCTTCAGTGATGGACCGAAATCCGTGATCGTGCACAGTTTTGATCCATGCTTGCTGCTGGAGCACCCCAAGCCGCCCGGATTTGGGGCTGAAGCCACCCCGTAGAGGTGGTGAAGAAGGGGAGCCATCAGGGGGTTAAGGAGAGCTGTATCTCTCCTCCTTGGCTGGCCATTACTCCCTTTCCCAAAGGCAGTTGCAGCGGTGGTCAGAAATGGCCACCTCAAAGAAGAACCTGACCGGACAAGATTGTGCAGGAGGAAGTTTAAAGGAGAAAGTTTGACTGATCGGGTTGAATGGAGAACATCTATTTAAGGTATCTGGAACCTGAATTTTAAAGACCAATACTATTCCTAAAAAAGATCTTAAGCGGCGAAAGAGAAAGGAAAAGGAAACGGAATTGGCTTTTTTTCCTCTCATATTGACAGTTTTAATTGACTTGGAATGTTAAGAAGAAGAGATTCGAATAAGAAATTGATACGAATCCACTTTGACATTAATAGGCTAAAGATTCTTTGATAATTTAAAAAGTTTCTTAAAAAAAGAAAGAAAGCAGAGGAGGGAAAAAGGAAACAAGAGGGTGGAATCTGGAAAATGGAGGAGACCACCTGGAACTTAAAAAAATCGATAGTGCAATTTTAACAAGGCTTGCAAAAGATACATTGTAGCTGGAATTTGTTACAAGATAACAAAGCCTCTGGAAAGAGAAAGTGAGAAAAGAAGCAAGAAACGGTTTTGGATTATTGGATGATTCCTGGAATTTTGGATGGTGGATCTTAATGAAACAAAATAAAATCAATTGTGGGTTGTTTAAACATTTTTAAAATGGCATCACTCCTTGAAGAGTTAAAAATGAGACTTAAAGAACAAAAAGAAGCACAAGAGGGAAGAGGATCTCTTGGCTTCATATTTCAATTTTTACAAAGTGGAGATTTTGAACTATGAAAAACAACAAGAAACGCTGGCAGAACAAGAAGGGCGGGATAAAGAAGAAGCAATCTTTAATGACCAAGAAACTTTAAGCAGGGTAAAAAAAAGAAAGGGGGGAAAGGGAGTTAAAAACTTAAGCATTGAAGCAACAACCCAAAAAAGAGTAATTTGAAAAGCAATCATAATATCAGGAAGAAGCAGAAGGGAGGATCGCAGAAGGGAGAATCAGATAGAAAACGGAATAAAGAGGGGAGGGAGAAGAAGAGAGGCAAGAGGGAAAGGAAAAGAAGCTATAAAGGACAGAAACAAGATATAAAGGTACAGGAAAAGCATACAAGAATTAAACGTATAAACCTATTTAACAGACACAGAGACAATGGTTAAAATTTAACTCGAGAGGATTTTGCAAGGGTGCATGGGATAGCATTGTTATATTAGAAATAGAAAAGGGTTAGAAAATATGTTTAGATCATTAAAGTGATAGAAACATTTGTATTGATGTGTAATGGAATATTCGTTTGTAAAGAGAATAAGGCTCTCAATGATTTAAAAAGAAAGTTAAACAAACTGAAAAGAAACATGGAAGATTTTTATCAGTTGACAAGATGAATTTGAATAAGAATAATAACTTTATTGACTACTGTTAATAACTATTGTTTTGTTTTTTATTTAAAGACAGTAATAAGTAAAATATGCAATATAGATATTAAAGTGAAAGACAACTAATATTACTAGGTAATGTTTGTTAAAAGAAATAGAAATGTGAAAGATTGTTATTAATATTAATGGCAGAGCTGTACTTGAATAATTCTTCCATTTACTATTGTTATATATATATATGAGATGAGATTCTGCCGAAACGTTGCTACAACTTTAAAAGCACAACTATAATGACATGGGAAAATACCTGAACAAAGCTGAATACCACACACACTTTTTTCTTTTAAGAATTTAGTGTGTATTTTTAAGGGAATGTACCAAGCAGAATTCAGTTGAAAATAGTTATGTGTTATAAAATAGAGGTTAAAAAATGAATGTTACAACCGTAAAGGTGTAACTTAAATTTTTAAACAAGATTTGAAAAAAGATACAAAGGTGTTACACTCCAGTCTAGTAATTACAGGGGGAAATTTGTTTTATGAGAAAAGATAATATGAAATTGTAAGCAGGACAGATGAAAGTATAAAAAACATTGATTAGAAAGATTTTTAAAATTAGAAAAAAATATGTAATTGAATTAAAAAAGGAATGAGATAATTTAAAATAAGGCTATAGGAAGTGAAGAAAGGGAAACGCTATTGAAAAAATAGAAAACATAGTTATAAGATATGGATTAGAATGTATAAGATAAATATGTATTGAGTTTATGTCTATGTGGAGAAGTAATAACCCGGGGTCAAGCTGTTTTCAAAAAAAGATATTTTGTTTGTATTTATACATTTTGTGAAAACTTAAATAAAACTTTTATTTAAAAAAAGGAATGAGAATGAGAATGATAAAGGAGGTATAAACCCTATATAATACTGCATGGTATTTAATAATAATGGTACCATAACTTTTCCTTTACCTTAAAGATATATTATTAAACTTACTTAATTTCATTTCGCAAGATCAACCAGTTGAAAATAGGTGCTTAATGACTATGCAACATAAAGTGTACATATTTTCCTGACCTCAGTGTGCCAGTAAAATTAAAAAGTGATGCTCTTTCAGACATCATTGAGTCATAGGAAAATGATACTTTGGTGTTTTCAGGAAACTAGCATATACTTTTATACAATCCCTTTAAGCAGTTGAGTCTTTTTTCTAGGGTAGCTGCTTTTTCCTAGACACATTATGATCCTGGAAAAAAGTCACACCTGATTTAAAGAACTGCTGGCCTGTGCTCCATTGGTGCCCACCTCTTTTCTCTTTAAATTGATAACACTGTGCACAGCCCTAACATGTAGTACCCTTGGAATAACTCCAAAATTGCAACACTCACCATGGAAAGATTGATGGTTACTTCTGTATCTTCTAACAATGCAAAAGTACAACTGTTTCAAAGGTGCTTTTTCAAAAGGCAACTGGACTTTCTTTGTTTTTTCTTGAAGACATTGTACTTCTCATCCAAGAAGCTTCTTCAGTTTGTATAAAAACACCTTTGGGACAACCAGGACCTGGATGACAGAATCTCCATAGACAAGACAACTGTTTCATTTCACAGTGCTACTGAGGCCATGTGTAGTAGTTGGAGGAGGTTTCTTTACAATGTGCAGAAGCCTGTTCCAGCATTTTGAGTATATGACTGAAGATGCTGGATGCCTTGGAAGCATTCTGAAACACCTTACTGAGGCAAGGGATGTCTCAGCAGCACAAAGTCATGGAGGTGATATGCAGCTATCCACAATGGTCTCATAACACACAAGTGTCAACAAATCTTTACACTATAGGGTGCAGTTTTTAAATGTCTGCACCTTGCTAGCTCTCTGAAGCATTAGAAATTGGAATAGAACAATGGAAGTATGTAAACAATAAATATCCCATTTAACTCATTTTTGAGGCAATGCATGCAAGATTAAGTTGACTGGATTTATACTGATCCATACATCCTCTTGAGTTGTTACGATTATTATTGACACTTTTTGAAAACTTTGCAATGTAAGGGGAAAAAAGCAATATTATTCATAATGGATTTCTAGTCATATTAAAGTTTAATACCTGATTTTTTTTCTATATTTAAATTGGAGGCATATTTTACTGTCAGAAATTTTCATAGATGAGACAGTTATTTCTAATCAATTATTATTCTACCTTTAAGCATTGACAGACACAAAGAAGCTCTTTATGATACCTCCTGCGTTACTTGCTGTTATCCAGAGTGTCAGAAAGCTAAGAAACAATTGCAGATTTACAAAATTTATAGCTTAGTTTCTGAAATAAAAGCTTCACTCCCTCAAATCTTCACTCACCCATGCATATATACTGCATTCAGAGTTGAAATATTTCTAGAAATATTCGTGCATGACACCTTCCAGGCACAGTACCTCCTTTTCTGTGATGTTTCCAAAGCACTACAGTTCCTGTATGAATATTCTCTTCTATCTGTAGTTCCTGTATACTCTTATAATTTCCCACAGAGCTTGGATACTCCATCAAGATTTGGCAAGTTTCACGTTGGCACTTTTCTCACACCACCTGATAGCTTTTCTTCTCTTGTGCCACCTAAAGGAAATGCTGGGTCTAGTGTTTCATCAAGTTTCACATCTGAACTGTTATTTTGGGATTGTCTTGGGGTGTTTTTGAAATTGATGTTCACATGCTGTGTATACTGAAATCTTCCAAGAACAAATCTTCCATCCTCCTATGGCCTGCTTTGAGGGGGATTTGTGTGCTCAATTTTTCATACACATCTCTTCACATGAGTACTGTTTTGCCGGTTTCAGTTGTTTTCTTGGTATAAAGAAAGATAGAGTCCAGGTACTTACCTTGATAAGTATACATGTTTATTCAGCTGAATAAAGACAAGCCTCCCTTAGCAAGGCAAACCCTGAACACATTTTGACGCTCATAGTTATATTTTTGCTACATTGTCCATTTCTCCACCCAGAAGCACTGGCACCCTCCACTCAGACAAGCTGGCATACTCTAGATAAAATAAAGAAGTACAGAAATGGCCATCCAATGCACTTGGAGGTCCTCCAAGGACATTTGGTGTCATCTCAGAGACTTTGAATGTTTCCTGAGGAAGTTTCTATGACTTCGAAGGGCCTGCAGAGGCAATACTGACATTAGCACATATGTTCCCTCAAGACTTTCAATAGAACCATTAGATTCCTGGTCAACACTACATTGTATAAGGTCACACATGAAAACTCTACTCTTTCATTATATCGTACAGCAGTGCTTCTCAATCTTTTCTTCATCATTTAAATATCTTTTTGTGGTCACAGACCATGGGTCACCAAGACTGACGATTTAAATCATAACATTTCTTCAACCCTTCACAGACCCCCTGTGATGACATTGTAGTCTGCCAGCGACCCGTGAACCACAGGTTGAGAACCAGTGTGGTATACTATGTAGTGTGGTAGAATCTGTAGCTGAAGTGAGGGAAGGAGTTAAGAGAGACTGCTTAGCTTGGAATTGCTGAAGAGGAGAAAGTGGTAGAAAGCAGACCCACCCTAAACTTTGGAGTGTTTATCTAGTTGTTCCGTGGTGAGTGCAGTCAGTTTTCAAGTTTCTTCCTTCAGATTAGTTCTGGCAACACTGCATCTTGCCTCATCACCGGACCCATCACCACACAAACTAGCTCCATATGCAGCAAGCATTGCCCATATATTGCCAGATACATAGCAGGAATGGACAATACATATTGGTGGATATATATTATATGGTCAAAATTTTGTAGGCTTAATTTTTATTTTTTGAATGCTCATAAGTGGCATTATTTTGTTATCTTCTGTCATGATAATAAATCCCGATATATAATTTAGGAGATAATACAGTGCTGTAGATATTTTGCAAATTATTGTCTGATTGTGGTATTTTATGCCAGACTATATAACATAATAGGATAACTTACCTAATTATACCAGGCAATTTCCACATCACATTATAACGGAATGGTTGTTTCAGAAACCTTGCTATGTGATGTGTCAAAATGGTTCAAAAATGAATTAAATTTCCAAATGCTAGCAGAAAATAAAAACATGTAACAACGAATGGAATTTCTGGATTTTTTAAAATTATTTTTTGCATTGAGATCTAAACCTGTTTAGCTCAACAGGCTGTTCATGGGGATGTATCTGTTTAGTTAGATTTGATATGAAAATGACATCAAAGATAGTGATTTTTTTTCAGTCACTTTGCTTGAAAGGAACTATGGTAGGACCTGAAATTTATATTTTATGTATTTGCTATAAAAGCAGTTATACAGATTTTTATTTTCAAGTTTTCTCAGATGAAGGACGGTGAACCCCTGGTTCAAATGCTGTAAGATTGCTTCTCAAGGAGGACATTTTTGCACAGGTACCTACCCATGCAAAAATGTCCTCCTTGAGAAGCAATCTTACAATGCTATAAATTGTTTCCGATGCATAATGATATTCATAGGCGTCAGCTAATTTTTACAGTGTCGTGACTACTTTGCTTTGACTTTGATATGTAAATAACACATTTTTTTTCTAAATCTATTATGCCATTTCTGTCTCACCTGAATGTTTTCTTCTCCCTATTTTTTCCAGGTCAGAAGTGACCATTTGCAGAAATGCCCTTGTCCATCAGTATCTGTTAATTAATATTATCTTGACTTTCCCTTTTAGCAATATTTACAGAATAATTTCAAATAAATTGGCTTAATGTATTGAAGCATCCGCTGGAAAAGTATAATTAAAAATTGTATATTTAAATTGTATCTGTCTTGAGTTTTATCAGCGCACCAAATATAAACTTCCCAAAATTTTTTGCTCATGTTGAATGTTTGTTGTTGTAGGCCTAAAAAAACTAAATGTGTTATTGTTACAAAAAAACTCCAATATTTAAAATGTCAACTGCTGTTTTATAATTGCAAGGACTCTCCACCCCCATCCCCTGGCCCGAAAGTTAAGCTCTCTACTAGATTCATTTTTAGCATATCCTTTGCAAGACCAACATGCAGATTGGGACTGAATATAGAGAGGACATTTCCTGTTCTGTTTTCCGTCTTCTTTTAAGGACTTATTTCTAGGCAATTTCAACATAAAACATGAGGTCTAAGGCAATTGGACTGGAGGACTTTACCTAAAAATACAATTTTTCAAGGGCTGGCTTGCAATACCTCCTGGCCAACATATTATTAGCAGGCAATGTACCATGATAAAACTACCTTGAGGCAACATTGTTCTTCCAAAGATGATTTAAGAGTGAACATTTAGAAACAAGGACATTAATGCATTACAAATCTGTTACATTCCATTTTTATTGCTTGATTATTTGATGCTTGGCTTTCCCATGGAAAAGAATCTGTGGTGTTTCCCCTGTAGCAGCTTTTATTGATGGCAGCATTTTAAAAAAGCTTTCAATTATTTGCTTATATTTCTTTAAAACGATTTCCCCCAATGTCACTTTAACTAAATGCCCTATCTTTTGTTTTGTCATTGATTCAGTGCTACTATTTTTAGCTCTTTACAGTACAGCTTTGAGTCCTTAAGATTAATAGTTTATTCAGCTATACATATTCCCAAGAGATTTTTTTTAAAAATAGTTAATAAAGAGGACTAAAAAAATGGCAACCTAAATGTAATCAATACATAAAAACCATTCATATCAATGGAGCTTGTTTAGATGTGAGTGTGTGTGTGTGTGTTTATAAAAATTTTGAATTATCATTTAACATTGGGACTGTCCTGGGGAATCATCCTTATTAATCAGTCCTATTCTTCAGTATACAAACAGCCATAATGCT